GATGTTCTAGGTAGTAGGCCCCATTTTCTATTTTTGCTCGATTGCGATAGGGTCCTTCCCAGTTTGCGGCGAGTTTGCCTTCGCGAGAATCTTTATGATTTCTCCTTAGGATGAGACTTCCCACCTGGAAGGCTCGTCGTATGACTTTGGCGTTGTGCCTAATTGCGATTTTTTTTTAGTGAGGCCTCATGGAGGGAAGATTCTGATCAGACCTCTTTGACGAGATCTAACTGCTCTCTTAGTGCCTCGTTGTTGTTCTCCTCGTCTAGGGGGGCTTTAGTCCGCCTGAAAGGTACAAGTATTTCGATAGGGATTACCGCCTTAGTCCCGTATCCTAAACGAAAGGTGGTCTCCCTAGTTGAAGAGTGGGGCGTAGTTCGGTAGACCCAGGGCACGTTGTGCAGCTCCTCGACCCATTGTTTCTTGGTCTCGTCTAACCTTTGTTTGAGACCTCGCAGGATGACCCTGTTAGCTTCCTCGGATTGCTTGTCCGTGAACTATGTCCCGTTGTCCGTGACGATTTCTTGGGGAACTCCTAAGCAAGTAAGAATATTTCGTTTGTAGAAGCGAAGTATATTGTGGGCCGTTATTTTGGCCAGAGCTCTATCCACTTTGTAAAGTAGTTTACGCCTACTGTCAGGTATTTATTCTGGTTTGACCCTATGACGAACGGTCCTAGGATGTCCAGGCCCCACCATGCGAAGGGCTACGGGGAGGACATTGCTTTGAGCTTATTGGGCGGTGCCAGGTGCATGTCCCCCGTGACGTTGGCATTTGTCACATCTTTTCACGTGCTCTTTTGCATCGTATACCCTTGAGGCGTGAGTCTAGGGCTATGAAACAAGGCTTGAGAGGCGTGAAGAAACAAGGCTTGTATACCCTTGAGGCTGAGGTTGTAAGTGGATTACATTCATGCTGATCTTTGGGGGCCTGCAAGGAATCCTTCACACTCAAGTGCAAAGTATTTTCTATCCATTGTTGATAACTATTCCAGAAATCTATGGGTATTCATTCAGAAGACGAAGGATGAAACTTTTGAGAATTTCAAAAGTTGGAAGATTTTAGTCGAAACTCAAACTGGTAGAAAGGTTAAGAGGTTGAGAACCGACAATGGCCTTGAATTCTGCAACAAAGCGTTCGACAGTTACTGTGTTGAGTCTTGGATTGCAAGGCATAAGGCTGTAGTAGGTACTCTTAAACAAAATGGCTTAGCTGAGAGATTCAGTCGAACAATCTTTGGAAGGGTTAGATGCATGTTGGTAAGTGCTGGATTGAAGAAGGTGTTTTGGACGAAGGTTGTTTCAACAACAACTTACCTGATAGCCTTGGGAATGAAGACACCTGAAGAATTTTAGTCGAGACATCCATCTAGTCTCGATAGACTGAGAGTATTTGGATGTATATCCTATGCTCATATTAGGCAAGACAAGATCGAATCTAGAGCTCTGAAATGCATGTTCATGGGATACCCTAAAGGAGTCAAAGCTTATAGGCTATGGTGCCTAGAACCAAGTCACATAAGGTGTGTCACCAGTCGAGATGTAGTTTTCAATGAAGCAGAGATGGCTTTCAAGAAAACTAATGATGCTGACGAAGAGCTGGAACAGGGAGAGATTCCTGTTGAGGTGGAGTATGTTGATGCTGAATTGTGTACCCCATATGAAGTCGAAGAAGATGTAGAAGATGTTGTCGAAGATGAGGAAACTGATAATGACTACCTGCTAGCAAGATATAGGTCGAGGAAAGTCATCAAGCCATCTCAGAGACTTGGATATGCAGATCTTATAGCTTATGCCTTAATCTCTGCAAGTGAGGTTCTAAGTGAAAAACCTAGAGACTATAAGGAAGTTATGAGGATTCGAAAGAAGACTGAATGACTGAAGGCCATGGATGATGAGATGAAATCTCTTCATGATAACAACACCTGGGAACTGATCAAGAAACTTGTTAGAGCTTGGTTAGTCAGCTGTAAATGGATTTTCAAAGTTAAGGAAGGAATCAAAGGAGTGACATCGAAGAGATACAAGGCAAGATTGGTTGCTAGGGGGTTCACTCATAAAGAAGGTGTCGACTTCAATGATGTGTTTTCTCCTGTTGTGAAGCACATATCCATTCGAATGTTGCTTGCCATAGTGGCACAATTCGACCTTGAACTGTAACAGATGGATGTGAAAACTGCGTTCTTGTATGGTGATTTAGATGAAACAATCCTGATGAGGCAACTTGAAGGGTATGTCGAAAAATGGAAGGAAGATTATGTGTACAAGCTGAATAAATCCTTATATGGACTAAAATAATCTCCTCGAAAGTGGAATAGGAGATTCGACAAGTTCATGGCACGCATAAGTTTCATCAAAAGTCAGTCTGACCACTGTGTTTACTTCAAATTTTGATCGGGTAATTCATTTGTTATTTTATTACTCAATGTGGATGATATTCTAATAGCAAGCAACAATGTCGAAGATGTAATGAGGGTGAAGGTTGAACTCAATAAGGAGTTCGACATGAAGGATCTGGGAGCTTCGTCCAGGATTCTTGGGATTGACATCCGAAGAGATAGAAAGCAGTCGAAATTATGCTTATCTCAAGAGGCATACCTACAGAAGGTTCTCGAAAAGTTTGGTATGTCAAATTCAAAGTCTATTGTGACTCCGACAAACCCTCAATTCAAGTTGAGTATAGAACAATGTCCCAACACTGATGTTGAAAGAACTTATATAAATAGGATTCCATATGCTAATATAATGGGTTCTTTAATGTATGTTATGGTCTGCACTAGGCCTGACATAACATATGCAGTACGTCTTGTAAGCAGGTACATGGCGAATCCTGGAAAGGCTCACTGGTAAGCATTGAAGTGGATTATAAGGTACATAAATGAGTCTCTGAATAGAGTCCTAATTTATGGTGGAGCAATGGGTGAAGATAATAAAGCAACAATCAAAGGATATGTTGACTCTGATTATGCAGGTTGTATGGACTCTAAAAAATCTATTTCTGTATATGTGTTCACTATGTTTGAAACATCAATCAGTTGGAAAGAAACACTTCAGAAGATCGTTGTCTTATCAACCACTAAAGCAGAATATATTTCCCTAACTAAAGCTGTGAAGAAAGCATTATGGCTTGAAGGTTTTGCAAAGGAGCTAAAACTTCAAGGTCGAGTTATCACTGTTAAATGTAATAGCAAAGTGCAATACACCTATCGAAGAATTCAACCTATCATGAGCGAACCAAACGCATTGATGTGAGGTTGCATTTTGTCAGAGGGATAATCGAACATGGAGAAGTCCAAGTGCTAAAGGTTTCGACAGATCATAATGCTGCTGACATGATCATCAAGACGTTTCTCAGTTGCAAGTTTTTCACTGTATGCAGTTGATTAAGCTGCATGAAGAAAGCTAATTTCTTGATGTTATAGAGTTAGATCCAAGGTGGAGATTTGTGAGATGTTGGATTGAACTCTCGTATGGTTGAAGGGTAGCTTCTGGTTCGACAGGAATTAAGCATGAGGTCGAAGAATGTTCGCATGCTGCTGTCAGAGTAATGCGTTTTGTAGTCGAAGTTTGTTCTAACATGCATTAGTCAATATTGCTAGGGTTATTAGCATTTTGAATTGAGCCTTACTTGTAAGCTCAATTGTTTAAGTTAGCTTGTACCCTAAGTTAGCTTGTAATGGGTAATTGTTAAAAAGTCCATTAGGTTAGTGTGTTATTTTTCTTATAAATAGGATGTTAGTTTCTCAATCTTGGCATAATGAAAAATAGGAAGATAAAATTCTAATTTCAAGAGAGAGAGTGGGATTATTTTTTTATTCTTGTATACTTGTAATTTTGTTCTAAGAGTAAGGAAAAAATAGCAGTTTATAACCAATCCTTGTTGTTCCTTGTTGTTTTACCTTATTTTCTTTGTTAACCCTAACCCTTATGTTTCTTGATCATAAAGAAATCGTTTATATTTTGTTTAAAGACATTTGATTCACAACAAAGAGCATAAGAGAATAAAGAAAGTCAAATACAAGCTTAAAGTGTTTTTCACTGGTGCATTTTGGAATGAAGAACTTGAATCCTATCTATAGCATTAGACTCCCGCTTCCTTCACAAAACTAAGCGATGTGAAACTTCAAATAACTTGTATCCTATATATAACATTGAACTTTCACTTCATTCACAAAATTAAACGATGTGAGACATTCTTCAACATGTATATTTTAAACCAATCTTAATAAATAGATGTGCATTGATAGTGTAAATTATTTTTACATTGTCAACTAATTAATAATGTATTTTGCCAAGTCAGTCTGTAAATTTTAAATTACTTATATAATTTGACATTTTAAAATATGAATTTAATTGGTATACACTGATAGTGTAAAATTATTTTACACTATCAACCAATCACCTTTATATATCTCGTCACATCAGACTATAAATTTTAAGTTAATTGTATGACATAACAAATTGATAAATTTATATTGGTTAACAGTATAAAATTATTTTATATCAATTAAACTCTTAAAATATTTTAATCGTATACTTTTTACATCAATAATACATTACATTAACCTTCTATAAATAATGGTTGTTTAAACATTTATCAAATTTATAAAAAATAAATAATTTTATATAAATGCGGTCATAACATTCGTCTATAAATCAATTAAATTATAATATAGTATATTATTATATAATGTGTGTATTTGATATTCTGTTAATAGAAGGATTTTCTCCTCCTATGTTTTCAAGGAAATGGAACCAATAACTAAATTACTGTTAATTGTATTGAATTACGTAGTCACAATATAACATCAATAATTGAATATTATGGTCCATCTAGATAGTCCCACAATAGAACAGAAAACTTATTATTATACATAGAAAATCTGCCAAGATAATCAACACCACACAAACTCCAAAGAAAACAACATAAACTTATTGAGTTCAAAATACAAAAGTCGAAATATTAACTTATTGATAAGACAGTCCAGATCGACGACTACCCTATTCCTTAGATGCCAAGGAACGAACATAGTTAATACCAAAGCTAAAATATTCAACCACCATTTCCCTTGATGGAACACAATCTTTGATAGGTGAAGTTTTGATGAAGCTATGACCCCACTCATAAAGAGAAGGAAAATTTTCAACATTGACTAATTCAATTTCTCCAACCTCCTCAAGAACATTAAGCCAATATGATATCCAACCAGCTACAATATCAAGATACCCTATCTTCTCTCCACCAAAATACCTTTTCCCTTCAATATGCTTCTCAAGAAATGCTAGTAACTCCATGGCAGCATCAACAGCTTTTGCCTTTTCTTCTCCTTGGGCCACACAGGCTCCCCATACACTAACCAAGCACTGTTTCCATTAAAACAAGCTTAGGTCAAACAACAACTCTTAATCTAAATATAGTCTCCAAAACCCTAATAACACAGCAAAACAGATAGAAAATTTTGATCTACAAGAAGAGAAAAAAATGGATCATATGGTACTATTATTATTATATTCACCTTCTCATCAATAAACTTTGCCCAAAAACGAGCTAATGATCTCTCATATGGATCTTGTGGTAGCAAAGGGTTGTTCTTCCATGTCTCATCTATGTACTCAAGGATGACAAGTGATTCAGCAATTGATTTTCCATCGTGAAGTAGGACTGGAACTTTTTTGTGGACAGGATTGGATTCAAGAAGTAAAGTGCTCTTGTTTAATAGATCTTCTTGTATGTATTCATATTCAACTCCTTTTAACTTTAAAGCCCATTCAATTCTTGCACAAGGAAAGCTTTGAGGAGTTGCAATTAGCTTCACTTCTCCCATTATTTCCAACGACAATAATTAATGAAATGAATACTCAGTCACACACAAATATATATATATATATATATATATATATATATATATATATATATATATATATATATATATATATATATATATATATATATATATATATATATATATATATATATATATATATATATATATATATATATATATATATATATATATATATATATATATATATATATATATATCAACAACTGAGTGCGAAGGTTAATTAATAAAAAAAATGATTATAATATAGTAAAATAATCTCCATATAATTTATGTGCGAGCTTTTTTTTTTTTCAATACTTGATCAAGTTTGTAGGATTTGTTTGTCAAAATAGGACAAGATTGTTCCACTTTCTTCAAGACAAAATTGACGTTTTTCTTTTGCTTTGTTTTCTTTTTATAGGATTTTTAGAATAGTGAATGTTTGATATCTTATTTTTTTAGGAGATTTCAGCTGGTGGTGTTTTTTTTAAGGGTGAGAATATTTGATCTTGCTTGCTAGTCGCATTTAATTCAAATTCGCTTGTCTTTAGTAATTTTTTTTGTTGAAAAAAATATTACAAATATGAATAGTGTGGATAATAGTCTTATGTTGAATAAAAATATGGTGACTTGAACATTTATAAGTTAGGAAACACATATATCTTTAAAAATAAGCGTGCCATAGTGTCCGACACGCGTCGGTGTTCGACACTTGTATGACACTCGTTGAAAAAGTCAAACAAGTGTCCTTTAGAAAAATAGTTATTTTCTTTAATTCGACGTTCTTTAAATCGGTGTTCGACATTCACATGACACTTATACAACACATGTCGAATAATTCATACAAGTGTTTTATAAAAAAAAAAAATTTATTTGTTTCAACATACCGTATATATTTTTTAAACAAATCTCACTCAAATCAAAAAACACTACAACATTTTGAATATACAGCAACACAAAAAAACCGTTGCAAAATCTAAAAAAGTCGTTGCCTTTACATATGAGAACGGTTTTCAGGGCGTTCTAAACCAAGGCGTTGTTTTAGCCTTTAGGAACGGTTATTTAGCCAACGGCAACGCATTGTTCAGAGCCGTTGCTGTAATTTTATATAGAGAACGACTTAGAACAGCAACAGATGGAGGCCGTTTTCAAATTTAAATTGTTGCAATTGTTTATTAGAGAACGGCTATTTTATGGAATATAGTAACGGTTCTTAGCCGTAGCCTATTCTAAACCGTTCTAATAGAGGCTTAACTTCAATTTTTCTTCATAGGTTATAGCAACGCCTTCTTTACTACAGACACACTTTGTAATTGTTGCAAAAAAAATTATTTTATTTTATAAACCAAATAAATTTATTTATTTTTTAATAAAATAAATTTTTATTTTATTTTATAAACCTGATAATAACATCATTCACAATTTTTTTATATAATAATATTCAAATACAAAACATATTCAAATTGAAAATGATCCAACAAAACATTTTTAAAAAAAACATCTTCAATTTTTTTATAAACCTGATCTTGCATATAAAAAAAATACATGACATAATCCATTTAAATATTATAATGTCAATCATTGATTCACAATCAACAAAACATCTTCAAATTACATATCGTACCCAATCAACAAAATATTAATTATATTTTTTTTTACTATAATTCAAATATATTGAATTAGTGTTATAGTTACAACAAGGACATGCTAGTTTCCCTTTTGTACTCCACCCACTCAACATAGCATACCCAGGAAAGTCACTAATAGTCCACAAGAGAGATGTCCGCATTTGGAAAGTTTGACTTAGTGGTGCATCATATGTTTCTACACCCAAATCCCATAACACCTAAAAAATGCAAGCATTTTTAAGGCTTAATGAATTTAGTATTATCAAGGAAAATTTCATCTTGTCTTCCTGTACAAGCACAATGAGTAACTTCTTTTAAGTCATTTCCCAAGCCTGCAATCACCAGAAATTTCTTTCTATTGTTATTCATTTCGAGAGGGTCAAATGCTACATTAAGTTATGAAGTAAGAAAAAGATATAACCAATTGAACTTAAAATTCAAGCAAAACGTTTATTACCTGAATTTGGCCATCTGAAGTTCCAATCACTAACATTTCTTCATTGTTGTCTAGACTCATGCAATTAACCTTACAATTTGTACCCAACTGTAACGTCTCAACTCTAATGTGTTTCTTCTTATCCCAAATTTCTACAACACCTCCCTTGCACCCCAAATAAATTAATTCTGAAATCACTGCCATAGCCCTCACTTTTGATCCAGTTTGCAGTGATCCAACCATGTTGTAATTGGAATTGTTCCATATCTTGAGGTACAAGAAAACTCGCCAGTTAACGATGGTAATAAGACACTGATCAAAATAACATCTAGAAGCTCAGAGAATTTCTAGGCTTTAGAGTTTGTTATATCATGAAACCTGATGTTTGTAGCAAGAATTAAGTATTATTTAGACCTTTACATAACCACTATACAATATATGTATGAGATACCTTTATAGCAGTTCCGTCCACGGAAGAGCCAGCTGCATATATAAGTTCACCATGAATTTCAGAGCATGAATAGGATTGGATTTCCCAAGCAATCTTTTAGAACCACTTTGAATATTACTGATAGTTCCAGTTGCCAAATGTATCTCCTGAAATATCACAATAAGATTATTATCATTAAGTTGAGATAGCATCGCATTGGATTTAGGCTACACCATACTTCTTAAAACTTGATACCTGAACACTACTGTCATGGCATCCACAGTATAATCTTCCATGAGCATGAGCCAAACACTTCACATATTTATTAGAGTTTAACAATTTGGATTCTCCATTTAATGATTGTACCTGATGAGAGAGATAAGTAATTATGGTACACAATAACATTACTTTAGTCAATATGTATGAACTAAATCTAAAGCATTTTGAGCATTCGATGGGAAAGAAGCCAATTTGTTCCAAAAATTAGTGGCATGTCAATATTCCACTTGGGGGTTCATTTTTGGATACAATCAGATAGGAATGAAACTGCAATATCCAACTCAGAGAATGTTTGTGTTTGAGAGAAGGAACTAGTATTATTTTATAATCTTGTATGCGTACCTTGACACCAGCCCCCTGTGGAATGAAACAAGTTGTGCTACTGGTTACAACTAAATTATGAATTTGGTCCTTCATATCTTGCACCTGCTCACAATGAATTCCTTCCTTTCCAATAGACCAGATATGTTATTCAATAAAACAAAATCATTGTTAACAGGCTTCCTGATATTGAGATTAGAACTGCCATTGTTTTTACCTTTGCAGTTCGGTCAAGTGAACCACTGTAAAGTCGGTCACCAGATTCTGAAATAGTCAAGTTTGTCACGGCTTTGGTATGTTCTTGGATCTCTTGCAACAGAAGTAATAAGTTATCTTTTAATGTCCACACCTTCAAAAGTTACAAAGTATTCTCATGTAAGCTATTCAATCACAGTAAAGTTGTCATACAAGTCAAGAACCAAACATTTTTCTAATGACCAGGTATATATTATAGCCATTCAATCTTTCAAGCAAGTGGCGAACACCATGTCAAGAAAATTTACTTCTTTTTGTGAAACATTTTATGTTTCTTTTAACACATTTAGCTCAATTCTAGCACCAAATTTAATTAAGCTATAATAGTTAAAATAAGAAATATATTATCTGACAGACTGATATAAAACTTATATGGTTGTTTCAATAGTTGTAATCACGACATGTTAAAATTTACACAGTGTCATACCCTAAATTTGTCCTACCCTTTTTTGTGAATATTTTCGCATTTATTGTTTCATGCCGTTTAGACACGTGTCCACCTGAAATTGAGCGTTTTTTTTTAAAATTTATTCTTTTTTACCAATTAAAGCGTGACACGTGTCCTAAAGGTTTTCGTGAATATTATTTTCATTCCAATTTTCTAACCTTTTTCTTTTTTAAATATTCCTAATAATAATAAATATTTTGTATATATTTTTGTCTTGTTTGATAATAATATTAAATAGCAATTAATATTGTCTTTTATTAAATACTTTTGTATTTTGTAGATTTTAATTTGTTTTTATATATTGTTAATTTTAGATTATTATGGTTAAGTTAATTAGTATTATAGTTATTAGCTTGTTAATAGTTTATTAATTATTTGCAAAATTGATGAGGATTAACAAAAGAGAAGGGCCAGACTTGGGCCCAATATTTGGATACCCACGATCGCACTATAAGGGAAGGGGAAAAGTTGATTCAGAAAAAAGACCTAAGCTACTGTTCACTCTTCCCAATTCTAACAAACCCTAGCCGCCGGTGAATTTTCCCCCTTTCCAAACCCTCGTCGTCTTCCCATTCCCAAAACTCAAACATCTTATCTCCTTCCGCCATAACCCTTTACCATCTGTCATACCCTAAATTTGTCCTACCTTTTTGTAAATATTTTCGCATAATTGTTTCATGCCGTTTAGACACGTGTCCACCTGAAATTGGGCGTTTTCCAAACTTTATCTTCTTGACCAATTACAGTGTGACACGTGGCTTAATATTTTTTTTAATTTCTTAAACTTTTTTTTGTTTTAAAATATTACTAATAATTTTTGTTAATAATTATTTTTCGTTTATAAGTTTTAAGTTTGTTTTTATATATTTGTTAATATTTATCTAATTATATGATGTTAATATTTATTAAAGATATATTTAGTTTATATTAGCTCTAATGTGCATTAAGAAAAGAAAAATTGTAAAAAAAAAAGGAAGGGGAATTGGAATTGGGCAGGCCCATTTGTGGGGAGCCCGTTAGGGTTTTGTTGGCTGAACATTTATTTGAGATGAATTTCATAGTGAGGGGGATAAGAATACTGTTCATCCTCTTTTCTTTCGAAAACGGCCGCCACCCCCTTCTGAACCCTAACCGCGAAAAATCCCAAATCAATCCTTCACTGCATCACCATTTTTTACCTCCTCCTTCGCAACCTTAAACTAC